GAAATAAGGTGTATGGTAGTCCTTCATCACTAAAGGATCTGAATTATACTACTGTTGGTTTTAAGAATATTGTAAATTCTGTTTGGGACATAATCTCAATACAGTTAAAGTTACATTTAACCAACAAACATATATGTCAGCGTGACATTAAACATAGCCTATATCTGTTTAATAATTGTCTATGTCGGAGAAGTATTCTGAAGCAATTTCATAAACTTAAGTATTTGCATAATCAATTGAGAAGCTCTAGTTTGTATTGTATCAAGCTGACCTTATGACCTATTCTTAAAATTAAAGCTTTTTCCAGCTATCAAACAAAAATCATGTCCTGAGATCTTTTTTTTAATTAGGACACTTTTTATAAGTACATTCATCACCAAGGTGATATGAAAATGCATTTAGAATAATATATACAAGTTTGATCTTCATTTAAAAAAAAAAACCCAAATACTCCTATCAAAAAGATTAAAAGATTTGGACATGCCACAGAACATGACTACTCCTTGGATTTGTAAAGCTTCCACATTTTATAGCTGTCTTAGCTTCACCTTGTAAGACTTCCACCACTCTTTAAAGATATCAACAGCTGTAAATGGATAACGTTTGTTGTCGAGAAGCCAGCGATAAAACAATGCCTATATGCCCTGCTTTTATATAGTTCCCCAAAGGCACTCTCGTCGGCTACTGACTTTCGATTTACTCAACGGGAGGATTTTTATGCGTTTACTACGACTTCGCCGCGAAGAAAATGGAAACAAAAATGAAAGTGATTCGGGGGAAAAAAATATTCCTTAAAATCAGTGACAGTACAATTGCTATTCTGCAATGGCAATCCACTACATCATTCAACCTTATAAATTCATTCTGGGGGGCGGGGGGGGCACGGAAAAAGAAAAAGCTACCTTTAAGACAGAGTTAGAATTAGCACAGAGCCTATCGATTAAGTTTCCGCCTCTGAAATCAGTAGACGTAGTCCCTACTCGCTGTCCGTTCACAGCACACATTACCTGCAGCCCTTATGCTTCTAACGATGCGGTAGCACCAATTGTACCGCCAACCCCCGCTTCAATCTTTATGGCCCTGCGACGCCTTTTCCATATGACTTGAGAATGGAATTCCGGGACATTTCTTTATTCTCCAGCCCCGTTTTATTTAGAAAGCTTGAAGCTTACCGGCTGCTGCCATTCTTCCTCCTTCGCCTCTTGTCAGACGATGCTCTCTTCCTGACAAGCTGATGCAACCAAGGCCGTTTCCGGAAGCATAACTCCACCTCTGATCGTCACTTCTGGTAGGAGCAAGGTAAACCTGACGATTCACGGGCAAGGCAATCTTGAAAAGGCAGGGAAGCACCGTATACAGACAATTGCAAATAATATGCGAGGAGGGGCACACACAAAAAAGTACGTCAGTATACAGTAGGCAGATATATTTGTTGCGAGCCAGGAGTTTTTCGAGAATATAAGCTGAAATAAATGGAGCCACCATTATAGGCACAAATTGGATTGATTTGTTAGCTTTTATAGGATCTCATTTGTCTATTTTTATTGGTATTCCACTGTTCTTTTAAGAGAGAATTTAAAACCTATAGCAGGCAAGTTTATAAGACGTTTGCTTTGTATTTTGGGGTATTCAAGCTCAACTGATATTCCTTTATGCTCTCTACTTATGATTAGGCCACACAGTCAGCCAGATGTCTTTCTCCATCTGAGTCCTTCCGAAGAACTGGGATAAGCAGATGTTGTTTAATAATGTTACAGGTATCATCTTAAGATGTAAGCTGTTCCAAGTAAGGCTGCCTTTAGCAATTGACTGATGGTGATTTTGTCAATGCTGATGGTGTTCAAGTGCAGAACCAGATGTTTTGGAACTGCACTCATTGTGCCTTTCGCTATTGGGGTTATCTTTGTTTTCATCATTATTATAATTGGTCAGTCAGCCAGATGACGATTTGGTATTTTTATCCACCTAGCTAGCCAGTCCTTCCCAAGGATTGGGGATAGGCAGTTGTTGTTTGATGCTATTGATGTTAAAGGTATCATCACAGAATACGAAGTGTTTGGAGCAAAGTTGTCTTTTGCAGTTCACTAGTGGTGATTTATTATATTATTAAAATTAATTCAAATGCCTAGTATCTGGGAAAATCAAGTCTGCAGATTTCCTCTCCAAAAGATGAAGCTTTTTTTCCAATAAATAGATTTTCCTTTTCTTAAAGAAATTTTTATGAACATATACCTTAGCTTACCATAGTTTTATACATACAACCTGGATTTCTTTTATCAGCATTTACTATTTTTTGACTGATTGAACCATCATCCAACTTCAATCTTCTCTAGGCAAGCTCACAATACAAGCAATATAAATATAACAATTTACATGATAGATGGCAAATCTCATCAATAATACCTCTGTACACTGTCTGGGGCTACAAGCACAGTAGCCCAAAACATGAGAAGAAACCTGCTTTTAGGCACAAAGAATTTGTTTATTATTTTATGCTTTTCTGTGTAATACTTTGAATTTTCTTCCACATAGTTTTTATATTTACAATTTATTACAAGTTTAAGCTTACCTGGCATGCTGTTCTGACTTTAAAGGGAATTGTTGGGATTCAGCTATATTTTACAGAAACCTCCTCAACCACAGCAAATATTAAAGTAGCACCTCTGCTTACCTAGACCACAGGTTTGTTATGATCTGAAACTTGCAAAATATTAAGTCTGTGTTTACTCAACACATGTATCCTTTCTTAATATAATTGTGACCCAGAATAAAATTGGTGGCATAAACATTTCATTAAAAAACATTCATTAATCCAGTATTATAGGCCTGGATGACATACTGAAGCATAAGCTAGCCGTACAAGCTGTGTTTACATAACACACTAAACTAGAACATGGCTGGCTAGTTTGTTTCTATGTGTTATGTGAACATTGTCCTGGTAGAATCAAAGCCATTTAAGTCATTTTTTTTATGAGAAGTAAAAAAAGAGCAAGAAATATTAAGACTGAATGTATTGAAGGTGTGAGATTAGTAGAAGAATGTTAAGATTAATTTACATCCAATCTCAGCTTTCTTCATCACGCTCTTTATGATCTGTATCTGGGGCTGTCAAACTCCGGCCTATGGACCGGAAGCATTTAGCGAAGGGGGAAACAGTCGTTATGTCACGTGATGCTGCTGTGATGATGCAAGTTTGACACCCCTGATGTTCAAACAAATCTATTCTTCTGACATATGAGTGAAAGCGAATATATGTCCCATGATGTGCAATATGCGAACTGGGTCAATCACCAGGATCAGAGGTTTAGTCTTCCAAGCTTTCAGATTCATGCTGGAGCCCATCCTCAGGGAACTTCTCTCTAGCATGGTGTGTACATGTTACACGTTACATACTGTTACTCGTGCTGGAGCCCATCTTCAGGAAACTTCTGTGTAACAATGTGTAACATGTACACACCCTGCTAGAGAGAAGTTCCCCGAGGATGGGCTCCAGCATGAGTCTGAAAGCTCGGAAGACTAAACTTCTTCCCAGTGACTGACCCAGGTTGGATCCTGTAATATCAGTACCATGTCCAGACAAATCTTTAAAAATATATCCCTTCAACCTCCATCTCACTTCAGCTTCATCCCAAATCACTTAATGTTTATTTCCCTTCAGGCAATTATTCCTGAAACTCACCTGTAGTTCTTCAGTGGAGTCAAACACAACTGTTATAAGCCTTATTACAAAACAGGACACTGCAAAATTAGCTTAGCTTTTTTTTTGCCACTGGTTAACTTTTAATAGCGGTATTATCTAACAAGACTGAATTTTTTTTCTCATAAATCAACATTGCTTACTTTGTTTGTGAACTATGCCATAATGCACCTCTTTTTTTCTAAGTGAGAAGTATCTATTGTTTTGATTGTGTTCCAAAGTAGTAAGTTGAAACAAGTTAGCTCTAGGAGTAATCATTTTTTTTATGTTCAGAGGTCTACGTAGCTTTAAATAAGCATATTTCTTATACAAGTAGTCCTTGGCTTACAACCATAATTGAACCTCAAAATTCTGCAGCTAAGCAAGCCCATTGTTAAATGATTTTTTCCCCCATTTTAGTCTTTCTTGCCAGGTGTTAAGTGAATCACTGCAATTGTTAAGTTAGTAACAAGGTTGTTGCTAAGTGAATCTGGTCTCCCTGTTGATTTTGCTTATCAGGTCACAAAAGGTGATCACGGCTCCGGGTAAGTGCAACCATCATAAATATGGATCAATTGCCAAGCATCTGAATTTTCATTGTGACCAAGGGATGCTGCAAGTGAAAGACATTCATAAATCTTTTTTCAGTGATGTTGTATCTTCAAATGGTCACTAATTGTTCTAAGTCAAGAACCACCTTATTCAGTGCAAGTTTTAGTTTTGTTCTATCACCTCAGTTCTGATTCAGGGGTTTTCCCCGGGCATTCAGGATAGTTTTCAATCGTATGCAGAGTATTTATAGGCATAATAATGTATTCTGCTGGCAGAACATCTGTCAGTGTTATGATACAATTGGACCAAAATAATATCCCATATATGGTATAATAGTCTAAAAATTTTCATATTGTGCATTTTTTGGTAATTGGTATAATTTTCTTCCAAAATTAAGAGTAATTATAAAAACTAACAAATGTATGGTCCTTAGTTTCTAAGAATGAAATTGTGTCCTAGTAATAAATTTAATAGATGACAAGATTAATACTAAGCAATAATCTGGTTTGTTTTAGCATATGGTATGAAGCCAATGATGGTGACTATGCAGATCACTACAGCTTATTCAACAAACCATAGCTTCACATGGTATGTGAAGCTATGGCTTGTTGAATAAGCTGTAATGATCAGCACATGATATGTATTCCTAGGCAAACTATGTGGAATTCTTGGAAATGTACAAGTGCTATCCATACTATTTAAAATTATTCCTTGCTCCACTCCATTTTCATTTCATTCCCTGGCCCGTTTCCCATTGACATACGCAATAAAGGAATCAGAACTATTTTTTTTATTAGAAAATACATACAAAAAGTACAGAATATGACACTGTTCACATTTGTTGTCTCTTTGTATATAAGATCACAAATGAAATATTACATTTCATACTATAGTAGCAAATGCGAACACAGTTCCAGCCTGATTCCAGTGGATTATATTTCAAGAAGTTTTACAGTTAAATTCCACCTACCCAACAGATTACCTGATTCTGATTCTGTTGAAAACTATTATATCCAGCTTCAGCCTGCTGTGAGCAGTTCACGTAATATTGAACACTGAATTTTGGTCACAATAGCATTTTTATAGAGGACAGTACAGAATCACATAAACCTGTAATTTCCAAATACTGACCAAGCTCCTATTGGTTCCTGCATTATCCATTGTAAAGTTTTTATGTTGCAAAATTCACCCACTCAGATATGCATTTCATTTCCCAAATAGGATCCATATTTCTTTCAACAACTGTGTTGTCCATTTACACATCCTCAGCCGAGGATACATGTGCTATAATAAATTGATGCGTAAAAAGACAGACTGTTTTCTGTCCAGTTTTTGCATAGTCAAAACGAAAGAAAGAAAAACTAAATTAGTCTTCAGCTTCCTTTATTATTAAATCTTTGTGTTTTAGTTCTTTTATTATATTTTCATAAATACCATAAAGGTTCATTTCTTCCAGTCCAGCAAATATTTTATGAAAAGCTGCAACAAGTCCATTCCTGTCTCGCAAAGTTTTTAACATCTGATGATGCTGTTCATCAAAATGTTGAGCATTATCATGCTTTATGTTATCTATGTCATTGTCTGATAAGCCGCATTTCCTCATAAGTTTATTCCAATAATCTGATCCCACCAGGTCCTTTATTTGAAAATAAGCCTTCTCCAATGCTGCAATGCAATAAAAATGTATGTTAGATTTTTTTAAAAAATGAATTTTTACATGGTTCACAAGCTTATATACTTATGCTGCAGTTCAGATTTAACGACCTTCAGGACAAACGTCACATTTTTCTTCAATGTATATATTTGGCTTTCGGCTACATTGGCTGAATTTTTAATTTTCGAAAGCATGCATTCCTTCTTCTTTTTTAAAAAAGTACAAGTAGTCCTTGAGTTATGACCACAATTGAAATGAAACACTTGTTAAGTGAGTTTGTCCCATTTTATGACTTTTCTTGCCACAGCTGTTAAGTGAATCATTGCATTTGTTAAGTTAATAACATGGTTATTAAGTGAATTTCTAATCCCCATTGACTCTGCTTGTCAGAAGGGGGGATCACATGACTCCAGGACACTGCGACTGTCATAAATATGAATCACCTGCCAAGCACCTGAATTTTGACCATGAAACCATGGGGATGCTGCAACAGTTGTGAAAAGCATAAGTCACTTTTTTCAGTGCTTTTCAGTAACTTTGAATGGTCACTAAATGAACTGTAAGTCAAGGACTACCTTGTATGACAAACAACTCCCAAATCATGCCATTTAAGAAAGCTTACAACAATTGGGATAATTATAACAAACTGCAAAAAATACTTTTAAAAATGCACTAACGAGATATTAGCTTGTTAGAATAAAAGTATCTTTCCTTGCCAGAGAGAAGACAAAGAAGGGGCTATTCAAATACTAAAACCCTTTTCAGAACTTACAAAATTAACAGAACATTTTTTTCCCACCAGTTCTTAAAGTGATGTTCCAGCACCAAATATTTATTTTCACATTGAGTTATTTGAAATTATATATTTTGGGTAAATAGCTTTAGCAAAATTAACTACATATGATTATTAAGGTGAATTCTCACCCTAAATTGCAATTATAATTTGCAATTAATGGATACTACAAATTTATTATAGTTAGGAATGTGCGGTCATAAATTTGGCTGAGATTATCGCACAAGAGCAGCAGCTGCAGCACATACACATACACAGATCCACATAACATTCCACTACACAGTAAAAATCAGAGAATGCACTAAGTGAGTGTACTGCTTTATCTCCACATATACAAGGCAGGATGCAGAAGCTAATCAAAGCTGGTATTCCATCTCAGTGAAAAGCCTCTTTGCCTCTCATTGCTTCTATGTATACAATTCTCAGCATTCAGACCTTTATATCAATTTCTACACCATCATCATCATCATGATCTGTTCTCTAAAAAGAGGCAAACTGAATACAAATTTCAGCTTCTCATTTAGTTCCCAACAACAATCTCCACTATTCTGGAAGATCCTCAGACTTCTAAAACAGCTTTTAATGGGGAAGTATAGGAGAAGTTTTAAAAAAATGCAACAGTAAGGACATCCTATGAGCAGAGTTGTACATATGGCACAATCCCTCAACCTTTCTGGTTTTGCAGACTAGGAGGGGGACAGGGAGAGTGGATGGTTCTGCATGAGCCACCAGCAAGTGCACTGATCTCCATTTGCACGTTTGCCACTTGTGCAAATGGAGAGCACACGCACACATGCGTAGTCACCCATCACTTCTGCAGCCCAGTTCTGAACAGCTCATGACTCTGTAGTGAGCCAAAATCCAGGGATTGGGGACTCATGACTTATGGGAACTGAGAATCCAACTAGTAGCATGAACACTTTAAAACTACTGGATGGAATTAATACTTCAGGAATATTTCAAGAAGATGATTGAGACATTTACGTATCCCCTTACACTCAGAACAGAATCGTTATGACATTTTTAATATGATGTCCAATGAATGCATCAATTACATATTTGCTCAAGAGGCTTTTGCTGTTTATTCGATTTAGGAGATTAATTTAAATTATCAACAATTGAAAATATAATTTAATTGTCAATGTTAACATATTTGTTTGCGCTTGAATTACAATGTGTTGTTCAATATGACTTATTGGATGATAATCTGTAAAACAGTTATTTGATCTACTCACTTTCCATATGAGAAGTTTTAATCCTTACTGCAGGTTTGTTCGAGCTTTGTACCTGAAATTTTTTAAAAAGGATGATCTGTTGTAATTCAAAGTATTAAAAAAACATAAAATTTGACTCAACACAGCAAACTTGTTTTTTACAGATTAAACAGATAATCAGAGAAACATAGTGAAAATTATTAAATGGATTCCAAAGTATAGCTGACAAAATTTAAGCAACCTTTCTGTTTCTCAGATTCTACTTAAACTTTAAATTTCAACATAAGATGACGCTTTTTTTTTTTTACGCTACTAGAAAAAAGAGAGAAAAAGTACAAAACATGTATCACATGCTAAGCTGAAAGCAAGCAAATCACATCATAGCGATGAATGCACAGGCTAATAGGCTGTGGTCTAATTATCTGATATTCTGACATTTTGCCAGCAACTGTGACTAGCATCTTCAGAAGTAAAGTGAGCTCATTCAGTTCCTGCGCAGCTGTCTGTGACCTGACAAGAAGTGCACTGCACAGCAGATTACTTTGCCTCTGAAAATGCCAGACATGGTTGCTGGCAAAACATCAGGATATCTATTAGATCACAGCCTGTTAGCCTGGAACCTTATTGCCACAACACTGACAGCGTCCATAAAAGCCAGTATGAAAAAATCATATTATAGTTGAGTGTTATTTGTTGACCAGATCTGTAAGTGGGAAATTTACTACTGATAAACAACTTTTAAGAGGGCTCTTCATCTCCTTTGCTAAATAGAAATTTTAATTATTATCTCCCTGGCACCCAGTAAGAAAGTTTGTGTAATATGTTTATTTATGAAGCTCATCCAAAATAGCATGCAAATCCCATGTTACAAAAATAAATGTGTCTTTCCAGGAAACCATGGAGGGGAAGAGTGTGAGGCAAGAATGTTCTTCTGAAATGTTTGTATTTTTTTTTTCTTATGAAATAATTGATGGTGTGGAATTAATTTGCATTCTGCTGGAGAATTCTGAAGGAATCCTTAATGGGAGTTGCAGAAGATGCTAGGGCCAGGGCAATGCAACAGAAAATAATAGTTTTAAAATAGTAACAGTAAAAGAACATTCTACCAGGAATTTTTGGGCAGAGGTATAAGGTTTCCTGCTTTAAGCTGTTTTGTACTTTGAATATACTCTAAAAGGAATATACCAATATTTCCTGTCCTCAATGAAATCATATTTGGGAAGGGGGTAACCTTTAAAGGCTGCAGTTACTATATAAAGCTCACTTTAAGGGATAGAATGGCAAAAAAGCAGATAATAAAGAGGCAGGTATCAAGATCAGAAGTGTTTTCCTACATTCTAACTATGTTTCAAAACCGTGTTTCTTATAGCATCTCTAGGTCCATTTTGACTACTAGAATAACAATGGCGAAGCACTATTGTGGAGGCAAAGGCTTGGGTTAAAGCATAGAGTGATAAGTTACAAATCCAAAGTATGAAGGATGCAAATGTTGCTATTAATAACACAGTTCTAAACAGAAATATTGAAATTGACTTTGAGGTTGGGTGGCCATTTTGAGGCCAGAATACCTCAGGAAATATCTCTTCCCATAAAGTTGTTCAGAACCTGTCAAAACTGATCTTAGTCATCATACTGGCACACACTAGAAAAACTGGGTTTGAATTTCCTTTGTGAACCTTTTTAGCTAGCAGTCAAAATAGCAGACGAAGGCAAGCAGTTATCGTTTTTACTGCTTAATGTCTGCCTATATCCAGTTATTTCCGGCCATGGAAACACAGCAAATTCCTAATGTGGCAAATGGCTTTGCAAAACAAAAGCATCTAAATCCTTCCACATCAATTGCTAGAATTCTATTATTTAAGCAGGTCCTTTTGCTATAAGTTACTGTATTCCGCCCTCTGCTGCTATTTCAAAATACTACAAGTTTCACCCGGTATTTTTAGATGAAATTCTACCTGCTTATGTTATAATTGTCTTTCTCTAACCTATCTTCTTTCTCTAACCTATCTTATATGTTTTTATGGCTATATAAAATTTCAAGGGGTTGCTTTCCTTCAGTGAATATCTGTGTGAACCAACATTTTTAATTTGCTTTAAAAAGCCACACATCTCCACTGGCATCTAAAATTAGAAGTAACTATGCTGCTTTGCCTCATTTCTAAGCCTTCATCCAGCAGTTTCAGTAGCCTAAAGAGGTTTGCCCACATGTGCTGCTTATGCACTTCTTCAGGCCATCCACCAGAGGAGACCACTAAACAGCACAAACCACTTTGAGGAGAACTGTGTTGTTTCTGTGACGCATAATGTTTTCTCAAGACAAAGAGTTTCCTCACATGGGCCTAATATATTCATAAAAGGTCGCACTGTAAGTGAACACATACTATTTCAAACTGTTCTGCTTTGGAAGAACCCACAGAACAGTAGTAATTATTAATTATCTAGCAATTTTCTACTGAAAAATACCTACATCATTCCTTCCACTGGACTGCCCACTTGAACAAACAACCTTGACTGATGATGACACAGGTGGCCTATTTGGAAGGTCTTGTTCCCTATTGTCCATCTCCAAATTCTCTCTCTTCGCAGTTTCAGGCAGTCTGTCCTGAGAAACAGCAGTGCCTTCAATTGTAGAGTTTACATTCTCGTTGCCATCAGGTATCTGCAAAATAAAGAAATAACCCTTTTGGTAGGAAATAGTAATTGTTGTTTTTTTTTAAAAAAAGTCTGAATTTCTAGAAATGTTCAAAGGGAGCTGCATGTTAATAATACAATGTTACACATTAAAAATGCCTCTCCATTTAATTTAGTTAAATTCTCTTCCACCTAAGTGTTTATAGCCTAGGTCAGCAATGAAGTCTCCATTGTGCCCCAAGGTCAAAAATTAAGACACAAATTTTGACACTTGAAATTTCCCCAAACTGCAAAAAATGGCCTGAATATTTTGGCCCTGACGACTCCATTATGTCAGGTTGTTGCTGAGCATACTTCTTGCAACCCAAGGCTGAAAAGAGCAGTGCTGTGAGGCATCTTATTTGATTTTAATGTGTCTAAACTAATAGCCACCTATTAAAAGTCATAGTTCCAAAGTGTAATTGTGTAATGTGTGCAGCCAGTGATGTATCTTTTTAGGCATCGTGATTCAAAAGCTTGGAGATCAGACTTGGTTCCTAACCTGACATCATCCAAGAAATGGACTTGGGGTGGGAACGGTGCAAATTTTCTGACCTCAATTCCTAATAAAAAGTAATTGTAAAAGGAGCCAGACAAAACACAAACAGATAAAAAATAGTCTGAATAATGTGGCAATTAAAAATGTCAGTGGAAATGAAGTGCTCAATTTCTCAAGTCAAATGAAGATATCTACACTACATGTCTGGAAACGATTTTGATCCTGAAATGTTTACCACAAATAACAATGACAATCTGAAGAAAGGACCAAAGTATATCAAGGTGTGTGCATTTCAAAAGGATAAATTATTTTCCAAAGTCCGTTTATTTGTTCTTGAGTAAGTAAGTAATAGTTTATCTGTATGCTTATTTTAAAGTCTGTACCTTGAAGGGATTAAAAAAATCCATAGAACTATAATTCATGCTTTTACTTGCTGAAAAGAGGTCATTGGCCACGTCTCTATAAGTAAAGAGTAGTTGGCCATCTATGAGGAACATTGTCATTCAGGTATATACCCCATTTCTGGAGCCAAGTTAAATGATCCAACAAGCAGTTGGGCCAAAACAAAAATCAAATACAATTTGCTCCACACAATGAATAAAATTAAAATTAAATACGTTGCTCTCCCCAATTTCATCTGCCTGCTTCTCCAGATCTAATAGAATGGACATGTCATGGGTTCTGTTGTCCAGGGAGCCACCTTCGTTGGGCCTTGGGTAGCAGGCCTCTTCTGATGTGTTCACCTTGCGGAATCCTCCCCCTTCCATCCCACCAAGAGATGAGATCAGCCTCATTACCCCTGAACTTCCAAAGATCCCTCAAGATTTGTTATGTCAGCAGACCTGGGTACCCGGGGGACTGGTGAACTCGTGAGGTGGTTCCATTATTACTTCCTACATCTATTGTTTTTTTTTTTCTTGTTTAGTTCTGTTTTTAAAGTTTTTTTTAACAATTTCATGGTTTTAGGTAACTATTGTTTTAGAAGATCGTTATATTCCACCCAGAGTCATAATTTATGAGATGGATGGTCACATAACTTTGATTAATTAATAAGTTAATGCAATTACAGTTGCTCTAATCTGAACATCAACTGAACATCTAATAATCAGCAGAGACCTGCTAAAACTGGGTCATTTTGATGACTGCAGAAAAATCAGTGAGGAAAGTATGAGTACTTTGGCGGAGTACTCATGGTGGCGGGAGGGGGCTGTATTGGAAGGTCTGGCAGCGCAGGCGGCTGGAGAGTGGGGGAAATTCCACAGCTGCTGCTGGGACTGGGGTTCAACTACCTGACCATCAGCAGTCTGGTGTGGCCTCCTGGGGACAAGGGGCCTCTCTAGGCTATTGGCAGCCGCAGCCATGGGCCAGGAACCCACCACACCTGAAGGCCACCCATGATGGGGACCCTGCCAGACTGGCTCTATTCATATGCCAGGTAATTAGTCCAGCCAGCAGTGAAGATTGAGGTGGAGCAACAAGCCAAGGGGGGGACCAAACTCTGTCACGACTGACCTGACCCAAACCCTGAAAACCACCTTACTGACTGACCCCTGGTTCCTAGAGAACCAACAATGGTTAACCCATTGGGTGGGGATTGGCATGGAAGTACACAGGTATACTATTGTGCTATCATACTAAGAAAGTATGAGTATTTTCTGGATTAATGTTCCAAAACAGAGGGACAGCTACAGAGGCTTACATATCCTTTTTCCTTTACTCTTTGAAGAGGTGGGTTCCTAAGCAATCACTTCCTCCCCAAATGCATAGGCTAGGCAGATTTCACCTGGACAAGATGGGTCCTAAGATAATATGGAGCTAAGCCATATAGGATTTTATCAATGACAAACCAACACTTATTTGGGGGTTGGAATCTAATGGTTGGAATTGGTGTTGTGACAGCAGAGGCATTTGAGTGCTGATGTTCTGGTTATTCCCCATGTGGCATTAAAAATTAATGTGGAGGGAAAATACACTGGTGGGGCACAAAGAAAGCTAGAGGTCCATGTGATATTAGAACCCGCTGAAGATGCAGCTTGTAGTGAAAGATGAAAAACAAGGCTGTTTTTCTCATGCGCATCATTAATTGGCCTTGTTATACATGAAAATAAAACGTTGATGTCTTCCCAGTAACTATTCATACTATCAGTTTTACAAAACTACTATCTGAGAAGAAAAGCTGGCTGTATTGCTTCTTGTAAACTTCTCATCATTTTGGCAGGACAGAAGCAAGCTAAAAACACTAGTTATACTCCCTTAAAAATTAAGTACACAAATGCTTACCAAATGGTCTGTGAATTCTTCGTTTTCTGGAGAGAAAAGTATAGGAAAAATACACATTAGTATACAGATAGTCCTCACTTAACATTCAATCATCCAGAAACTATTTGGTTACCATGGTGCTGAATGAGGGGGATTTATGACAGGTCCTAGCTGCAATCATCACAGCATTCCTCCGATCATGCGATGGCCATTTGTGATCTTCATGGGCAGTTTCCAACAAATAAAGTCAGTGGGGAAGCTGGCAGGATGTCAAAAATGGGGATCACACGACTGTTGAATACTGCAGCCTGATGGGATTTGCCTAATAAAGGTCACTAGGACTACTCTCAAGGGGACGTGGTGGCTCAGTGGCTAAGACGCTGAGCTTGTCGATCAGAAAGGTCGGTGGTTCGATTCCCTAGCGCCGCGTAACGGAGTAAGCCCCCATTACTTGTCCCAGCTTCTGCCTACCTGGCAGTTCGAAAGCACGTAGAAAATGCAAGTAGAAAAAATAGGGACCACTTTGGTGGGTAGGTAACAGCTTTCCATGCACCTTTGGCACTTAGTCATGCCGGCCACATGACCACGGAGACATCTACGGACAGCGCTGGCTCTTTGGCTTTGTAACGGAGATGAGCACCGTTCCCTAGAGCCGGAAACGACCAGCACGTATGTGTGAGGGGAACCTTTACCTTAGGACTACTCTCATAAGTTGGGGTGGGGCCATGTTTTGCCTTATGATTGTGTTGCTTAGCAATGGAATTCCTGGTACCAAATACAGGTAATCCTCGACTTACAACAGTTCGTTTAATGACTGTTTGAAGTTGCAACATCTCTGAAAAAGTGACTGAGGACTGTTTTTCACATTTATGACCGTTGCAGCATTCCCCCAGGGTCATATGATTTATAATTGGATGCTTGACAACTGGTTCATATTTATAATGGTTGCAGTGTCCTGGGGTCCGGTGATCCTCTTTTGTGACCTTCTGGCAAGCAAAGTCAATGGGGAAACCAGATTCCCTTAACAGCTGTGTTACTAATTTAACAACTGCAGTGATTCACTTAACAACTGTGGCAAGAAAGGTTGTAAAATGGGGCAAAACTTACTTAACAATATAAATGTTGGGGCTCAATTGTGGTCATAGGTTGAGGATTACCTGCACCATCAGTAAGCGAGCAATATCCATATCAAATCTTTGTACGGGGAAAATGGCAAGATTTCACTGCTAAATAAGGGATCACTTATTTAAAGCTAGCTGACTTGATAACCTGATGATTCCTCTCATTCCATTAATACTGTTATCAGCCCTGGTCTTCCAATTAAATGTATAGCTGTTCATTATTCAGCCATGATATTCCCCTCTGAAAAAAAAAAAAATTGGGGCCGGCCAAAAGAGACCCCGTGCTGCGTGCCAAGAAATTGCACACACAACACCAACGCCACACACCCTTCCTTTCCAGATGGTCAGGTGTGGATCAGCTCCAGAGCTGGGCAGCTGCTCCCCTGGTGGCGGGGCCGAGGCTGCCACCCGGGGAGCGCCCACTGCTTTCCCTCTCCAGGGCTGGGAGGTGGCGTGTTGCCCTGCCCCATGTGGCCCCCGCCTGGCAGCGTGCTTCTTGGCACGAGACAGCCCGGGTTGCCCAAGGAGCCCGGCCGGCCAAGCGAGGGGAAGGCAGTGAGGGCCCTGTCGGACTGGGGTGGAAAACCCGCTTGGCAAGGGGCCGGGGAAGCCTGCGGGCGGACCAAGCACGCTGGGAGGCAGAGATTCAGCTGAGGCCGTCAGACGGAGAGACAGCTGGTCTGCTCTGGTGCCGCTGCTGCCGTTGCAAAGCGCCACCGCGGCTCTTCCTTTTCGCCTTTCCCTTCCTGAGGCAATGCGGGACTGGAGCCATGCCGGCGGTAGCAACTCCTGACTCAGGGGGCCTCCGAATGGGGAGGGGAAGGAGGAGGAGAAGAGGGGGTAAAAGGGGGGGGGCAATTCCCCCAAAAAACAGAATTCCAATTTTAATAGGAAGAATATCATGTCTGATTATTGTACTTCTTCCTTTGAAATTTCTGATCCTGCATTCTGCAAGAACTTTGGACAGGATTGCAACCTTATGCAATGGACCATGGGTTGGCACAAAGGAGGCTAATGGGTAAGAGGAACTAAGCAATCTTTGTCCCATGGGTGAGGATTCTTTAAAAGAAAGGTTTACTTTATGTTAATATATCCATCCCAATAATCAAGTTTTGAAACAAGCATTTTCAGCTTCCAGTTTGTAATTCATATATGTTTCAACCTCATAGGCCTCCAGCAAATATGTACATTTCTCCAATTGGCTTAGCATGTTGTGTGAAGCCAGCTATTACATCTTATATGCACATTTTAGTGCAATCTGAACATCCAGCCAATTGATACTTATTCAGCCAACCTTAGTTAAGCAAACTACAGCTAAACACAATGTGCAAATCCAACTCACAAATTAGCACACACAGTTTCCTGCTTTGGGTCTCCCAATTTTTCTGTACTTTGGTTCATTTAATGTTAGATAGCTAAGTATTTCATATTTAGCAATTCATCAGGAAATTACCTTTCTTCATTACAGAATTGTGTTTTCTCCATTTATATATGATGCAAACCACCAAGGGAACCAGTGCAAGTAAAACAACAGGTATGATCCAAACCCATGGAAATGAGGCAGCTGAAGCTTCTAAAAGACAAAATAGGAAGCCTTTAAACAAATTAAAGATAATGGAACTCTTCTACGTATGCACTCATAACATGCCAAGAATGGAGGTTAGATTTATAGATAATGGTACAGCTATATGAACCTTGCCATTAGTTTGAAGATTGTTTATGGCTAAGCATGTTGCATATACCCAATGTATTCTTGTTTATTCAGGAAAACGTAATTTTGCAAATCATGATTTACCATAATGAATAAATCCAGGCAACTGCTTTGGGAAACAAAATTAGCCAGAGCTTTACAGAAACTTACAAAATTATTTCTGGAGCACAATGTAAAGGAAGAGAAGGCATGCCCACGTCCATACAGAAGATAATCTGGTGTCCTCCAAATCATTTGACTTACAACTCCAATAACCTTTTGCCACTGATCATACTTGTTGAGGTAATTCCCCGTTAGGAGAATGAGCGCATACAGGGAGACGTAGTGAGAGTAATGTTGAATAATATACACACAGCACACAGATACACTGTACAGTAAATGTAGGTTTTTACTTCCAATAAACGTTTAAGCACAGTCCAAACAAGCAGTCCAAGTCATTCACAGTTTTCAGTTCAGGGATAATCCAAATATCAAAGTCCAGTATCAGAAACAGTTCAGTAACAGACTTATATCAACAATCAGTAACAGTCATTAGGAGGAACGTAATACTCTCCAACAGAAAGGAACAGAAACTCACTGAGACAGACTAAACAACCCAGGTTTCTGGCTCCATCTTATGGCCGTTTGAGAAACCACACCCAATTACAGATTTAGTATTCTCTTAAAGGCATAGTATTAAAATGTCTATCCTAGTTTATATATTTCCAACCCAAATAACTGTTAGGTGACTTACATTTCTAACAATACTAAGGCTGGTTGGGGTTTAATTCCAAAAAGGTAGCAGCTTCTTCCCAACAGAGAGAAAACAGAAGTAATGTACTAATAACGGGAAGGAAAATATCCTAGCCATACTCTTTTAATGTACCAGATTAAGGAACCTCTCAGCCTGGTATTTTTCCAAAATAGACTGCAGCAAGTGTTTGGGTTATGACTCTAATTGGGGCTAGAATTTTCACTGATAAACAAAGAAGTCCTTAAGTGAAACATTGACCATACTGTTTAATGACAGTAGCCCCAGCTATCCAGTCATTAGGTGGGGACCTCACACTTCTCCTGTCCTGCATGAGCTGCTTCTCCTTCAACTCGGACAACTGCAAAACAAAATCACTTGAAGTTGATTTTGCAGTCTTCCCGTTGTTTGAATTATAATTGTCAGCTGGTGCTCCGTTCAAAATCCAAGAAAGAAATACTTAGACTCTTGTAATTAGAGAAAAGATACCTTTTACTGGAAGTTAGTGGTAGCAACGAGAAAATTCTGAATCAGGGGAAATAGGCACGTACATCACATATATCAAGGGAGTGAAATGTTCCCACCCCCAACAGTTCAAACGGTTCTTCCAATTAAAAGTTGTGAACTTGATCATGTGAACATCTCCAGGTGGTGATGATTAGTTGACCTTGGCTTACTCAGATAAAGGTTTGCAATTGCGCAGAGAAGAGAAAGCTAAGCAGGAATGAGAAATCCTCCCCAGTTTATACAATATCAGCTATTAACACTTGCAACACTTTCCACCCCCCGTTACTCATGGCAGCCAGAAAAGCAAAGGAAAGGAGGAAGATCTTGAAGGCTGACATTCGGCCCTCCTAGAAAAAAGACGTTAGTCCTGTAAAAGAGGGAAAGATAAAAGGCACAACTTAATAACCCATTAACATAAAAGAGACACGTATCTAGGGTTTATCAGGATAATTAGAATGAAATGCTCTGACAAGCTTAGGGGCTCTAACATCTTTTTCATTGACCCATTCCGCCTGGGACAAAGGAAAATGCTTCCAAGCAACCAAATACTGGAGTTGACCCCTCCGTCGTTGAGAGTCTAGAATTCTCTTTAACTTCAAAATGTTGTTCACCATCAATAAGCAATGGTACAGGAGGGTCAGTCTGGGTTGGTCTCAGATCAGAAGTATGTTCAGGTTTTAGTAAACTAACGTAGAAAACCAGGTGAATTCGTTGAAGGCTTTTAGGCAATTTCAATTGGACTGTCACAGGGTTTACAATTCGTTCAATCGAGAAAGGACCAACATACTTAGGACCAGTTTCTTTGACTTTTGAGTGGTTTGTAGAAATCTGGTGGACGAAAAGACTTTATCGCCCACTTGATATGGGTTTTGTGGAGTCCTCTTTTTATCTGCAAATTTCTTATGAGCGCGGTGTGCATCATCCAATGCTTTACAAATGACTGGCCAATTAAGCTGGAGTTGTGTTATCCATTCATCCAATGACTGAATACTAGGCCTCTCACAAGGGAGCTCAGGTATGGGTACAAAGTCTTGTCCCGACGCCACCTCGAAGGGGGTAAATCCAGTACTACTATGGATAGAATTGTTATATGCCACTTCAGCGAATGGCAATAGGTCAGTCCAATTATCTTGCTGATAATTTATGTAACATCTAAGGTATTGCTCCAATACCGCGTTAGTTCTCTCACAGGCCCCATTGGTCTGGGGATGGTGGGTGGAGCTTAATCCCTGGGCGGAGCCTAATAACTTCAGGAACTTCCTCCAAAAGTTCGAGGTAAATTGAACACCCCTGTCAGAGATTATGCATTCAGGAACCCCATGTAATCTATAGATATGCAATATAAACAGTTTAGCCAACGTTTTTGTAGATGGAATCTTCAAACAAGGTATGAAATGTACTTGCTTAGAAAACAAATCAGTTACCACCCAAATAACTGTGTTTCCCCGCTTTTGGGCAATTCCACTATAAAGTCCATAGAAATTTCCTTCCATGGAGCCGTTGGTCTAGCCACATTTTGTAACAACCCTGCTGGCTTACCAGGAAGTCTCTTGGCTGATGCACAAATAGAACAGCTAGTCACATAGGTTTCAATGTCCTTCTTCAAAGCAGGCCACCAAAATTGCCGCTTAACTAGGTGTAAGGTTTTCACGAACCCAAAGTGACCAGCTGCTTTAGAATCATGAGCCTGTTGTAAGATTTGGCTCCTCAGTTCCTCTGGCACATATAACTTGGTTCCCACCCAGGCCAGGCCATCTCTAACTGTACAGTTATTCGAATGAGCCAGGAACCAATCATCGAGTTTTAGAGCATCCTTTAATTGCGCAGTCAAATCATTCAATAGATCCACTTCCTTCTTCTTCTTTTGGGCTCTAGTAACTACTAGAGCTGTCAACTGTTCGATTGGGACAATCGGCTGTACTACTTCCTGGCAAGCACTATTATATTGAGGTAGTCTAGATAGAGCATCCGCCATGAAGTTCCTCCTGCCTGGAATGTACTTCAATGAAAAATTAAACCGTTTAAAGTACTGAGCCCAGCTAACTTGTTTGGGGGTCAGCTTCCGAGGCATTTTCAAGGCCTCCAAATTCTTATGGTCGGTCCACACCCCAAACGGGTGTTTTGCTCCTTCCAAGAAATGTCTCCAAGTGAGTAGTGCCCAACGAACTGCAAAAGCCTCTTTTTCCCACACTGCCCACCTTCTTTCAGTTTCAGATAATTTACGGGACGTATATGCACAGGGTTGTAAAATCCCCTTCTCAATGATTTGCAGCAATACCGCTCCAACCGCCACATCACTCGCAACGGCCTGGATTACGAAAGGAGCATCCATGTCCGGGTGCTTTAGCAGTGGTTCAGCAGAAAACAGTCGTTTCAGCTTTTCAAAGGCCGCTTGACATTCCATGGACCACTCCAGTGGCTTACTAGGTTTTGGTTTTGCCTCCCCTTTGGTTTTTAGGAGGTTTGTGATAGGCAGTGTTATCTTTGCAAAAGCTGGGATAAATTGCCGGTAAAAATTGGCGAATCCCAAGAAACTCTGAAGTTGTTTTCTGGTGCGGGGGGGGGGCATTCCAACACGGCACGCACCTTCCCTGGATCCATTTCTATGCCCTCATGTGAGATGCGATACCCTAAATAGTCAATTTTCTCCTGATGGAACTCACATTTGGACAATTTAGCATACAACTTAGCGGCTCAGAGTTTCTTTAAGACTGACCGCACTAGCTTCACATGTTCATCCCAGGTCTCCGTGTAGATAAGGATATCATCAAGGTAGACCAAAAACCCCTTATATAAATGTTCATGTAAAACCTGATTAATCATCTGCATAAATACTGGAGCCCCCTATAGGCTAAATGGAAGAACACGGAACTGTAAACAACCTATCGGGCAGTTAAAAGCGATTTTCCATTCGTCCCCTTCCTTAATTCGAACCCGGTAGTACGCTTCTCTCAAGTCGAGCTTCGTAAAAATCTTCCCCTCGGCCAGGTGGGCCAGCATGTCCTTCATCAGGGGGAGGGGGTACATGTTTTCTACGGAAATGGCGTTTAGGTTTCTGTAATCAACACATAAGCGAAAGGAGCTTTCTTTTCACGGAACAGTACTGGGGCTGCTACCCGGGGTCTAGCGGGCTGGATGAAACCACGTTTCAAATTTTTATCGATAAAAGACCGCAGCTCTTCTAATTCCCGCAGTGTCATCAAGTACAGCTGAGGTTTCGGGAGTTTCACCCCGGGTAAAAATTCAATACTACAATCTGTTGAACGATGAGAGGGAAGTTCATCCGAGGCCTTTTCACTGAATACTTCCTTTAAGTCCCAATATTCCTTCAGAATTTTCTCCTCCCCCTTCAGTTCCTCAGTGCCCATGAAAGCTAGGTCAATAGGAGTCTGGAGTTTTGGTTGAGAACGCCCCTCCCCTTCCAGGCGCTGTTCGGTACATATACGTAATGACCCTCTTCTCCAATTGATGTGGGGGTTCCATTTCCAGAGCCAGGGAAATCCCAGCATTAGCAGCTGTTCCATCCCAGGGGCCACAATAAAACATAGAGTCTCGCTATGCTTCCCCATTGTCATTTCTATGGGTTCCGTTATGAAATGTGCAGGACCACCCCCCGCCACTGATCCATCCAGGTTATGGGCGTTTTTAAAGGTTTTAGTCTTAAGCCCATCTTCTGTACTACTTCCGGGCTGATCACACATCTTGTGCACCCAGAGCCTAGCAAGACCGGCATTTCCCCCTTGGCCCCCGATACAGGTACCGTTAACTGCACTGGAATGGTCATAGGGCCCTTGTTTGGACTTACCAATGAGTCATCTTCCGAATTGACGTCACTCTCTTCAGAGGAGGTCGGAGTTCCCAGCCCGTCTCCCTTTGGATGGGCGACCTCTACAACCTCCCTCGTCTTAAGCGCCGTTTCGCGATCCTTCGCTGAAGGTTTTCCAGTTTTTTTCTCTCCTCTTGGCGCCCCCTTCGGTTGCCAACTTGGCCCAGCAGTCTGCAGCCCGGTGACCTTCCTTCCCACATCGGAAGCAGACAGTAGTCTTGAGTCTTGCTGCCATCCTTCCCTTTTGGGGTTTGAAGGCTTCTTGAGGATGTGCAAGAGAGGGCTTGCTCCAACCAGAGCCTCCTCACGTCTGTTTCAGGTTAAAACAATTTCCACCTCTGCTGCCATCACGTACCACATCTGCAGATCATTGGGGTCTCTTCTGGCAATGCAGCTTGGTATATATCTTCATTTAACCCATCTTTGAATGCTTCTATCAGAGCTACTTGGGACCAGCCTCGAATATGACACACCAGTTCTCTAAATTCCTGGGTGTAGTCGGCCACTGATCTCCGCCCCTGATTTATGGTCTTCATCTTAATCCTGGCCTTATGTTCTGCCAGTGGGTCCTCAAACCTTGACCTCAGCGCAGTCATGTACAGGTTATAATTCAACAGCTGGGGAGCATTATCATTATGCAAAGTCACCATCCACTTTGCAGCTGTTCCCTCCAGAGCCCTGGTAACACATCTAACCGTGGCTGCTTCTGAGGAAAAATCCCCTCCATATAGCTCCAAACTTGTGCTAGGAAAAATCCCAACTCTTTGGGATCCCCCCCATATTTTACTTCCAACAGAGGCAACTTTGGAGTTCTACCTCTTCTGGCAATTACTCCTTCCCCTGAGGACCCCGGGGTTGCTGCTTGCTGTTGCGCTAGCCCAGGTTGATTTATGGGGATGGCTGTTCGGCTTCTTCTGGCTGGGGCTGTCTCCCACTCCTCTCCCTCATACCTTTGTTCAGCGTGTGGTTCTCCGAGGGCTTCATCTATGAGGCGTCTGGCTTGATTTAGTAAAAAATCTTTCCTTTCCCTCTCTTGCCTTGGCTCCTCTCTTCCACGCCGACGGGTAATGGTGACTCCTGGGGGGGGGGGGGCTCCTCAGGATCCTTCCAACCTACTCCCAATGACCATTTGGGTTTTACAGCTGGTTTTTCCTCAAGGTTGAGCTCTGCTAACAAGTCAGCTTCTCTTACTTCCTCTAGCAGGAGCGAGTCGTGCCCTCCAATGGCACCCAGGTCTTCTTGGTCGCTGGCTGGAGTTGACATGATGTTCAGACCTCCTCGGAAGAAATTGTGTTATCTCTCCGGGTGGGCTGGTAGAGAGTAGATTCAGAATAATGTCAGCTGGTGTTCCGTTCAAAATCCAAGAAAGAAATACTTAGACCCTTGTAATTAGAGAAAAGATACCTTTTACTGGAAGTTAGTGGTAGCAACGAGAAAATTCTGAATCTGGGGAAATAGGCACGTACATCACATATATCAAGGGAGTGAAATGTTCCCACCCCCAACAGTTCAAACGGTTCTTCCAATTAAAAGTTGTGAACTTGATCATGTGGACATCTCCAGGTGGTGATGATTAGTTGACCTTGGCTTACTCAGATAAAGGTTTGCAATTGCGCAGAGAAGAGAAAGCTAAGCAGGAATGAGAAACCCTCCCCAGTGTATACAATATCAGCTATTAACACTTGCAACACTTTCCACCCCCCGTTACTCATGGCAGCCAGAAAGAAGCAAAGGAAAGGAGGAAGATCTTGAAGGCTGACAATAATGCTAATCTGTCATTAAATAAAAGTATAGTAGTCCTTGACTTACAACTATTTGGTCTATTATCGTTTGACGTTATAATACTAACCGGGATATGGTGGTCCACATTTCATATCTGTTGTGGCATTGCAGCTTTCCATAATCACCTGTCCTTCAGGACACCTAGAAATTAAAATGTTTTTAGAAATTAAATTGTTTATTTAAGAAGGCATATCTTCCTTCCGAATGAAAAATAACAGAGTATTTGTACAACTGTATTTATACAATTCAGTTTTGTATAATGGGATACATTTTGCAGGCAAGCTTGAGACCTGAAGGGTTGAAATATGCCAAATTTTACAGAAACTGATACAGTTCAAATCTTATTGTTTTTTTTTTGTTTACAAAAGCTTAACTTATTTTAGGATAATGATTTTGCCCATTCTAAATCACAGTGAGACTGATTGCTGGAGGTCAAAGAGGAAGAATAAGAGATTTAGCAGAATTTCCCCCAAAATAATTCAAGAGGCCCATTCAGAAAACCTTACCCAACTCTCAGGATGGGACATTGGTAAAAATTAGGTTTGTTCATTAAACCAATTCCTCCCTCCCCAAAATTGCCTCTAATGGCAAAAATACCATAAATGGAATGATGAAAAGAATGACAGTGCTAAAATCACCCTGGTCTAACAGGCAGAACAGTCGGTTACAGTATTGTTATTTATTATGGCATTTTATACAAATCAGAAATGAAAATATTTAAGATCTGGAGCTATAATTCATTGCCATTTTCCAGAAATCTAGTAAATTCATACAAGATGTGGGCCCAAATTTTTGAAGTCTATTTTTAAGGATAGGAATAGGAAAAAAAGACTCAACGGCAAAGTACCCTCACCTCCATCTCAATTATTTGGGCCCCAGATAAATTTTGTCTGTTTTTAGGACTTGATAATTTTGTTAAGCACCACCCAAATTTTGGCCATTTTAACAAATTTCAGAGGGGCCTCCTGCAGCTGAGATTGTCTACCCTCTATAAATATTGAAACCTGATATTTTGCTTTGTTGTTACCATATATATAAGTCAAAGGACCCAGAATCAGAATTATGTTCTGAAAAAAGAAAACCTTTCATTTGCAATCTAGGGATCACCTGATTTTAGATTTATAAAATATATATTTTATAAATATCCAACAGAAAATATATAAGATCTAGAAACAAAGGGAACAGTCTCATGAATCTTTATTAACTTTCCACAAGATATAAGTTAAAATATTTCAGAATCTCAGTTCTAATTTTTCTAAGATTTTAATTCAGTTTCTTTAACAAGATATGGAGCTGATATAAAACACAGGAAGAAAACATTTTTGTGTGGGGAAGCTATAGTCTGAACTAATGATAATTAGTTGTCACATAATCAGGAATCTGTTAGCACCTCTTTTATTTAAGAATTTTTTATTAATTGGAAAATATGCTATCAGACTCCTGATATTTTTTGCCATTATAATTTACTAAGGTGCTTCTCTTACAATATTGGGAAATACATGTAAATTATCTGAAACACTTGAGCTAATCCTTAGTTCCTCATAAAAATCAGTAGTGCCCAATGTGGCATCCAAAAGACCCAATGTGTCTATAGTCACCTCCTTTGATCCCTGCCAACTTCCCAACCCTACCAAGTTTTTATATGTTTAATTTTAATATTCAATTTTTTAAAAAACAAGGAAAGCTGAACTGCTATAAAGAAAAATGTTACTCCATCATCATCATCATCTCCAAAAGTATCTCTGGTCTCCAAAAGAATGCCTTAAACTTTCTTAGAAAATAAAAATGGTATCTTGCAGGAGTTAAATGTTTTGTCTGGACATGAGCCTAATTTATTATTCTCCACACTCTCTTGTATCAGGAAATCATCACTTCTTGTAAAACTCGAGTTAAACTGCTGACTTAAAGACTGTATTAAATCTTCAGCAAGCAAAACAAACTGTAAACCTCTCAATCCCTTTTTTGAGATGTTGAGGAAGTGGCATTCCATATATGATAAAGACAAGTATCATACTCAATACCAGGTCGCTTCCAAATAAAATATTTTTGTTGTTTGTTGTTTTGAGATTTGCTTAGTTTCTAAAAAATGACAATTGACCTCAATAAATGAATAAGATATACCACATATCAAATACACTGCCCAATTCCATACTAATCTTTATTTTTATTGCCTTCTGAACTTCTATTTGTCCCTTAAATTTACACATGCAAAGACTTGTGACCAAATTCTGTAGACTACAGCGATTTGGTGTGGTGGTGATTAAGCAAGGCAGGAAAGTAAACACTATTAAAAACGAAACAAAACCAACAAGCAAGTAGAAGTGAAACAGAATGCAGGAAATTCATGGCAAAACAATACAACCCTACTGCCCTGGCACTATGAATTCAAAAGCGTTGGGCCTTGATGACTAGGAATTCTCTGGACTGTAGTCCTTGCACATCTAAAGGCAACATTCACAGAGTGCTACATTAAGTCAAGAGCCCCCAATTATTGTTATATCTGCAGCAAAAGCAGATTTTGTGGAATGTGTCAGAACTGCATGTGCAAAAGTGAACACTGCAAATAAGAAAGCCAGTAATTTTTCAATATGCCATTCCTGCCATGTTATCTAGTTTTAACATCACTAGGGCCAATTTTAGCACACTTATCCAAAAGTTAATAGGCTGAGCTATACAAAAGCTTTAGGAAATAGCACATGTTGTACATTTATGAATTAAATGTACAATTTGATATTCCAAAACATAGTAGCCTTAGGTACAACTTTTAGAGTTTTACAGATGTAGCAACTGATGGATTTTTTTTTAATGCAGCAGAAGTAGAATTAAACATGGAGAATAATCCTACAGTATAAATCTATTAAACCAACATTTAATTCTGGAATTCTTGGCATACTGCTCAAAGGCAGTGGGTTTTGCCCAGAAAAGAGTATATATAAATTTCTGCTTTATATCATCATTAAAAGGATATTGGCTTTCAACTTGATTTAAAAAAACAACAACCTATGTTTGAACATAATTTTTACATATTATTTTTCATCAACTGTTGGATTATTGTTTATATTGTATATGCTGTTGTTTTAAATCTGAGTTACAAAGATGGGAATTGTAAACTGCTCAGAGTTGGTTTCAATTGGAGGGACTTATTAGCCCAGGAAAATGAATGAATGGATATAATATGACATATAAATATCAACTTAGCTTAAATGCAATCAATTTACTGCAAGTATTTTTATGTGTGCAACATACTCTCTATCATAAAAGGGAACTGCACCATAAGTGTACATACCGCGTCTTGCATTTCACACACTCCTCACAGCCTGGAGGGCAGAAATAGCCATCATTGCACTGACACTCAGTGTCCTTCTTCCTGGTGCAAGGTGCTATCATTTTGTAACCTGAAACAGAATTTCCTAAACTTATCAGCATGGACAATGTTTTCTTTTTAAAGAAGCAGAAATATACACAATGTTCTTTATCAAACTCTACAGGAGACACTAAAAATGAAACAAAATAGAAAAGGACAAAGATTCCTAAGGGGTAGATTACGAAGGAGTTGCAGGAGTAGTTTTGAGGCAGGGAAAAATGAAGTTTGAGACAGTGGGCAGCAGTCAGGTTCCTAAACACAGTCCTGAGCCTAAAATCAAAGATAGAAGAGATCATTTAGATTAGTGACTCCCAACCTTTTGGGCACCAGGAACCAGTTCCATCCACCAGAGGGGGTGTGGTTACACATGCTGCCTGCATCCCACAGAGGGGGCGTTGCTTGTTTACAGGACCAGTTGCTGGCATGCCGCGGACTGGTGCCGATTCACAGACTAAATCAGGGACTCCTGATTTAAATGACCCAATCAGTGCAGGAATCCAAACTAATGTCTAACTTCTGCTTGAATATATTCAAGTAAAGGCAACCAGCTACCTTTCAAGGTGATTGGCTTAATTATAATTTAATTTCATCCCTGTGCAAATAGATGAATTCAGACCTCAAGCTGACACTATACAACTAAGAGGCGGGAAGAGAAGCCTAAGAAAAACAAAGTTTACTGCCAAGATCAGGTAACTTTGGATTTTAAAAAAAGTACTTCAACCTAACCCTTACTCAGTTTAAACAAAGTAAGAACGGGGAAGTAATGTGGTAAAAGGCTAGCAAAATTCTACAATATATAATGCACTATAAGATTGTGGCAAAATCTTATAAAATCCGATGCTGAAAAGTAACACAATACAGGAAGAGTGTCCAGAATGTAACGTACCAGGTTTGCATTCAGTACACAGTAAGCAGCGATGTAGACCATTATTAAATTCAGTGTAACTTTCTCCATCTGTACAGGATTTACATTTTGTTGATGTACTTGGAAAAGTACAGTATTCCTCCACATGGGTACCTAAGATATGGGATAGCAAAAGTTAATGTTTAAATATATGTAGTTACACACTTTTGGTTTGTGCATGTCAGTCATATGTTTATACCACCAACTGTTTTCTAACTACATGTTAGAAGACTGCCAACTAATGAAGAACTTTCACAATGGAACCATGGGACTTACATCTGAACTAATATGGATTAATTACTGATTGTTAAATTACTTCATATTTAAATTCTGCATTGTTCTGCTGTTTAAGTCTTGTGCAATTAAGCAGCCAAGCAGAACTAACAAATCATTTACATTTGTAGTCAAAATCATCCAACAATTAACACCTGAAGTATCGAAGCATAAAAAATACAGATTTCTCTGTTTCCTATTAGAGATTATCATATTTGCTGAACACAGCAAATGACTTTTCACCCCCCAAATAATGTTTTGCTTGAATCAGGATAGTCACAAAGATTGTTACAATTATATTGGCACTGTTGACAGAGGAAGTAGGGCATGATGACAACATGCCCCTGAATAGTAAAAATGAGCACTCCAAATTAAGTTTTATAAACACATATTAAAAATGAATGAATAAAATCCATTTTATTAGTCTTGCATGAGATGTATGAGATTTTCACCCACTTGATTTGCTTTTTAAGAAATCTTTAACTGCTATGCCATTGCTGATTCTGATCCCTGGGACACACTGGAATTCAACCATACAAGTGATCAGGAACAAACTATATACCTTGATGCCTTCACTACAGGACATCACAAAGTCTTACTGGAAGGACATTATCCATGCCCTATAAAAATGATGGGCTGACCAGATACCAACTCTAAGTTCTGGGAATGTATTTTTGCTAGAATCTGTTGCACCGTCAAGCTTATAAAATTGCACAGAGGAAGCAAGAATTAATCATCCCATCAGTCAGCAAGGAAGTTTTTGCAAATTGGAATACATTTGCTTAGTTTTAAATGAGTACTAGGATTATTTTAAGCCAGTATTCTACAGCAGCCCCAAGCTTTCTGGCTACATGGACTGATGGTGGAGTGAGCGGGGGAAGGTTTCACACACACAACCTAGATCCCGCACATGCACAAGTAAAGCTTCGCACGCTCGCTACTGCTTGCATGGCCCAGTTCCCAACAGGACCAGGGACCCCTGTTCTATAGTGATTAAATTGCCTAAAAGGATTTGGTGGAATATCCATTAAGCCTTTGAGATTTTAGGCTGTGTAACATTGATAAGATGCAAGAAATTGCCTTACAGAACTTGAAAGGCTATGGCCGTGATGGAGAACCTATGGCACGCGTGCCGAAAGTGGCACGCAGAGCCATTACTGCTGGCATGCAAGCCCTCGCCCAGAGCAGATCTTTCATGCATGCGTGCCTGCTGCCCGCCCAACAGCTGATTGTCGGGTATCTAACGCGCATGCGCAGGGTGCACAGGAGACATGTGTGCATGCGCAGAGATGCTTGGTGCATGTGGGGGGGGGTCACGTATGTATGTGCAGAGATGCATGGTGTGTGCGGGGTCATGCATGCATGCGCAGGGGTGTGGGGGGACCCACGCGCATTACCTTCTGGGTAGTGGCATGCGAGTGAGCGCAAGTGCACAATTATCGCGACAGGAGCCCAAAAAGGTTAGCCACCATTGGATTATGGGATGGGAACATAGACTTCTTCTTTGGAAAAAAGGTGGGGTAAAATGAAGTAGTTGGGGAGAAAAAAGCAGAAATCTATATGACTTCTAGTACCTTCTGTCTCTTTTTAAATGTATCAGGTTTTGTCAAAGGAACTATTTCTGGCAAACTGCCACCCTAGTTATTTTATTGAGGAAGCACAACTATTTTCAAATTACGCGACAGGAAAAAGGATACTGTAGTTAGCAAGATTGTCATGGAGAGAACATTTTTCAAGACATGGTACATGGACTTTGTTAAAAGAAGAAAATTCCATTCAAATTTCACAGTTGTTGTATCTCAAGCAATTGGTGGTATAAATGGTCAAAAAGCGAGTAAAAATGGCCAGATCAGACTGTGTATATTTTCATTAAGTGCAGAAGCACTAGATTTCTTAGTTTGAAAAGAAAATCAATTGTAGAAGGAATGTAAATAAAACTTACGCCCTCCGTGATTTGATACAATTCTCCTTCAGTTTGCCTTTCATTCCAGAATTAATTTAATTGATTTCAGAATTAATTCCAGGCTTCAAACCAGAGTACAAGGATGCCCACCTCTCCCTATTCTTTATTTGTTCCTTAAAAGGATTACTCATTTTTATTTTTTAAAAGAACAGGTGACAGCATTTCGTGACTTTTGGACAATCCTTAAAAAAAAAATATATAGCAGAAGTAGCTAAACAGGATCAGACAAGGTTAGAAATTGAGTGAGGATACGCCAGAACCTCACATGACTAAAGGCTAGGCTTGAAAGTCAAAGGACATTTCAGGAAGTGGTCATGGCAAATGATTTCGACATTACTGTGAAGAAAACATCAATACATCCATGTAATACCCACCCAGAATGTTCTACTTGGGGGAACTTCTTTCTTTAGTACGTCACATGCCAGCAAAATGGAACTACAACTATCAGAATTCATAGCTAGATGGCAATATTGGACACTGCAAACCAACAAATACAAGTAGTCCTCGATTTACAATAATTCATTTAGTGACCATTCAAAGTTACAACGGCACTGATAAAAGTGACTTACACCATTTTTGCACGCTTACGAACTTTGTAGCATCCCCATGATCATGTGATCAAAATTCAGATACTTGGCAACTGGTCCATATTTATGACCACTGCCGTGTCCCAGGGTCATATGATCCCCTTTTGCTACTTTCTGATAAGCAAAATCAATGGGAAGCCAGATTCACTTAACAACCAGGATACTAACTTATCAAGTGCAGCAATTCACTTAACTGAGGGAAGAAAACAATTAACAGCTGAGGCATAAAATGGGGCAAAACTCACTTAACAAATGTCTCACTTAACAACAGAAATTTTGGGCTCAATTAAATGTTGGGCTCAATTCGGATTAACTATATAGAATAGCCTAAAATGAGAAAGGTTTTCTTAGATTCAAAGACACTACCTATTGACACTAATTGTTTTACAGTAGCTTCTGTGTTCTTTCAAAAAAGACAGCCCCAATTTCTTTCACCGGAATATAAAATCATATCATCTTATTATGAGAACTTACCCGCAGGACAGCTTTTGCAACAAATCCCAGAATATAGGAATTCTCCAGGATCGCAGGAGATTCGAAGTGCTGGAGATTCGACCTAGGGGGTTTGGAAAGGGAGAGGTTTCTTCTAATCATTGCACTTTTCCAGCAATATTATCTTGTCTTAATCAGAAATGCACAGTCAAACCATTGTTCTGCAAAGCTGTCAAGATAAACTAAATTCAAATCCTATCATCAATAAAATAAAATAAAATAAAATTTGATTTTTGGGTGCGTCTGTGTGAGAATAGATATTATATAGTGCTTCTCATGGAATGAGTATAACATGTGATGAATATCAGTAACTTGTCCAGGTCACAGGCTCAGAATAAAATACAATTTCCTCGACTTTCCTCCTGACCTATTTCTGTTAAGGTCTTCTTCCTCACTCTCCACTATTCTCTGCCCCACAGTGGCAACTAGATGTTTTGGGGAAGTCCACGCACATGAACTAGAGTGCAAATAACCATCTTCCACCACTGCTTCCTAGTATCTAATATTTAAGGACTACTGCCTTTGGGATCTTTATGCCGAAGAAAAGAGTAGAAAGTCTGTGATTCAAGCAACTTTTTAGACATCAGGAGTTTTTTATGGTTTCTAAGATGAAACAAGAGGAACTCCAAAAGCCATTTTACAAATCAGAATTCTTTCAAGCTTGAAAAATAAAAATAAAAACCATAATGGCTATATTACTTGATGAGGAAAAAAAAATTTTTTTTTCCTGAACTCAGGTGCCAGCTATTTTTGTCTCTGAACACTAGAGTAATCTGACACCAATACCTACAATTGGATAAAAGACCAAGTGAACAATATTCATCTTGAAACTAGGCCTTAGGGTTGAAAAAAACTAGCCTAAGCTAATATTTGGACTTCCTATCTCCTCTTTTTATAGCATTTTGTCTGACAAGTAGTGCAGGATAACTTAAAATCTTGCTTGAGTATCTGTGGGATTTTAATTGGTCCCTAATAAAGATGTTACTCCAATTCAAATATTCAACCAATAATGTTTCAGCCAAGATCTGGGGAATTATCTATCTATCTACCATTAAAATTCTCCTATCTTTTTGTCTGTTTGTAACCTTCAGTTAGCCCAAATAGTGCATCATTGTGCAAAGTATTTTAAATCAAGGTAGCTCAATTCTGCTAACTTAAAGGATGCGTATAAAATCTGGGACTCATTAATTCTATATAACTGAAATTTCAAGGAACTTCACACACCAGTTGTATTTGCAAAATTGTACCCATTACAGCAGGGGTGTCAAACTTGAGGCCCACGGGCTAGATGCAGCCCGTGCTTAGATCTGGCTTATGGGGCTGCCCTGGAAGAAGTGAAGGACCAGCCAACGGTGCCTCTGCCAGAACTCTGTTTTTGGCTGCGACTGCTTCCTGCAGCCTTCTGCCAGTGAAAATGGAACCCAGGAAGACCACACACAGGCTGCAGGACATCGAGCTGTCCACGACCACTCAGCCCGACCCACCAAGGTTGAACACAACCCTGATGCAGCCCTCAATGAAATCAAGTTTGACACCCTTGCACTACAGCATCACCTCAGTCACATAATTGCAACTTCCAACACTCTTGTCAGTTTCCCACATGCAAAGTCAATGGTGAAGCTGGAAGTTGCTTGTTCTCCCACTGCTTTTTTGCCTGCTCATGGCCATTCTATTTCTCTGTTTAGGTAAGGAAATATCTCTGAAAGGAGGTCAGGAGGTCATGGTTCTAGTTAACAATATTAAGTTGGAACTCTCAAATTGTTTACACAGGAAAGGATCTGGATAACTTTTAAAGTACACCACCTAACTTTAAATATATGGCAACATTTTTTTTCCTTCAGTTGCTAAAAATGCAACTCTAACTTAAACTTTAATCTCACTATCTCCTTCTACTTGTACATGAAACTTTGTCACACTTCAGTTGGGCATACTGTATGAATAACCTTTGATCTATCATGAGTAGCACACAGATAAACAATAAGCATTAATTTATATTTGCCAAGTGTAACATATTTTAAAACAATTACATAAATAAATCAAAACAATATAAAACAAATTCAACTTTGTTTTAAAACTCTGAGGGTTAATCAGAACCAATAAAATAAGCTAACAACAATCATAACATGGCAAAACTTCCTCAAACTCTAAGTTACTTGCTGTTATACAGCAATAGTAAGAAGATAAACACTATTTCAAAAGACTGAAGCAATTGTGCAAGTCCAAGCATTGTGGCTTTTTGTAATTGACAGAAATATTTTCAATATGCAAATGTTCTAGGTGCCATTCAAGGCTTTTGGGCATGGCAGTGTGTCAATAATCACTAGAAACACCACTGCCAATTTATGCCATAACATTTTGATTTTTGGACCTTGATTCTTTGTGATGTTCCCCTCTTCTTTTGTCATCTATTCTACTATCCTCCTGGTATTGCCACATCAATTCTCCACAGCTATCCCAGGGCGAGAAGGTTTCATATTTCAGCTGTTGTCTATTTCACTTTATTGTTTTGTCGTATAAAGTTTATGGATCCTTTGTATATATATATATATATATATATATTTAATAAATGAAAAGCTTTGTATTCCTGCATTAACCTACCATGATAAGCAAATATAGCCAGTGAGTCTGATTTTCAATCTCAGCTTTTTCAAACATACGAAGTATTTACGGTGTGTATATGTCTGTAGGTTCATTTCCCTCTTGTGCTCTTTCCCCCAACATTTCTGTCTCTGCCATCTTAAACTATAGGTCTTTTCTCAGATTGTGCAAGCAGGCAAGTTAATGAACTCATATGAAACGAATAGAAAATTTTACCGCCCTTTTTTTTAAAGTTAGGTATATTTATTAATTTAGGTATTTAACATGATCCAGGCTGAATCAAAGATTCAGACAAAGGTGGTTTCAGGCCTTAGATTAATGTGTTTATGGAGTTGCTGATATGTGTGTGTGTTTTCTTACTGTTGTTCTAGCCTAGATTATCTCTGTGTTGTATATTTGTTGGCCTTGGATTGTGGATGCCACCAGTATTTACTGTATAGTAACAACACCACTTGCCTAACCTGGGTCCTTGGGAAGGACTTAAAAAAATGGATAAAAATGCCAAATCCAGTCTAAATATCTGGCTAACTGTGCGACCAACCACAATCCTTAATACAAATTGATAAATCCTTGGCACATAACACCCCAAGTTTAATTGTGATTAAAAAGAAAAAACTGTGGAGAACTGATGTGGCAATACCAGGAGGAGAGTAGAATAGAAGACAAAAGAAGAGGGGAACATCACAAAGAATCAAGGTCCAAAAATCAAAATGTTATGGCATAAATTGGCAGTGGTGTTTCTAGTGATTATTGACACACTGCCATGCCCCAAGCCTTGAATGGCACCTAGAACATTTGCATATTGAAAATATTTCTGTCAATTACAAAAAGCCACACTGCTTGGACTTGCATATACAGCACATCAATACATTATATTCCCTCTATTCTATAGGAAGAACTGAATGTGAATGAAGACCAACACTAGCTATAAAGAACGAGTAGCTGTGATTTCACAGGTTGTGTATATCATAGTTTATATCATAATATGTTGGCAAGGATTTCTAACTATCAATTAGTTAATAGTTGTAATGGAGTGGTAGTACACCACATAAATGCTTCCCATTGATCTTCAGTATATAGAACTTCTACATTTTACGCATATACAGAAATTCTCACTTTCCTGATTGAGGTCTCTGTCACTCTTCTCTTAAAAAAACAAAACAAAACCCTTTGCAAAGTAGCCTCATTATCTTGAATTAGCTCACAGAATTAGGAAAATATAAAACAGAACTATATTGGTACTTGGTAGGACTGTGAGCATGGTTAGGTAAACATCCAATAGAGTAGCAGAACCTATCTTTGAACTCTGAAACTAGTAAATGTATACATGCTATTTAAACTCAGCTGCATTTAATTGTGATAAAATTCAAATTTGACGAGGAACTCTTAGGAAAATGAAATTTTGTAATTTTTGATTTGCCTTATTAAGTTCCCAATTTTTGATCTGTACAATGTTCTCCGAATTCAGAGTTCCCCCTTTTCCCATATGAAAGTATACAGTTGTTTGCTTTTTAGAAGCATGCCCCTCAAATTGGAAAATTAATTTTGTAGCATGAGATGGAAATCTGTTCAGAATAGTCTCTCAATCATAGAAATGCAAATGGTAGTTTTTATCTAGTACAAAAAAATGAAGATTTTAGCACTGCTAATATAAAACTAATTTGTGCTTTTTGCTTACCAAAGGACTGCACCATTCTAAGTAATTATGGAAATTCCTCCTCTCCCCCAGGGGAATAGCCTTTAGGCATTCTCAGTAGTCCAAGGTGGAACCTGAAATCTTATCAGGACTGAGCCTAATCCAATCAAGTCCACTGCATTCTACTTTAAACTTACACTTAATATAGACTGCTCTTTGACATCAAAATATTTTCCTTGTTCTTTTTTTAAAAAAACCTAAATCTTTTCTAATTTTTAATGAATTTTTTACAGAATAAAAATAATACAAATTTAAAGAAAAAAGTGATAAGAAAGAAAGAATAGGGACTGAAAAAAAAGAAAAGGGGAATAAAAGATTTAAAGGAGCAACTTTCAATCTTCTTTACAGCAGTTATAAATATATTTATGTTTTATCCCTTCGGGATCATTGCTCCTTTCTTTCCATATTCCAGCTTTTCTAATAATCAAACTCATAAATCAAATGATTTGTTTCCAGCCAAAAATTCAAAAAGGATCAAAATCCAAAGTTCCAAAGAGAACTCGACATTTTGTCTAAACTTTTTGCATACATTTAATTTTGTGAAAAGCATTGCCTAGTTATAAACACCCTGACTTATAAGAAACATGAATCACTTTACTGATGTATTTCCTTATTACTTTCATGGGTGTTCCTTCACTCCCCATCCTAATGCATGCACAATGCCAATTTACCGTTGTGCTTTAGCTATGCTCTGACATGTGTAGTTCTAAAATATTTGGAGGGCACCAGGTTGGGGAAACTAAAGGGCCAGATTAGAAGCACAGCACTTTCCATCTTATTTTTAATCAAACTTTTATTAGTGTGGAATACACTCCAGGAGTTCACAGAACATGTTGTCCATCAAAATACAGTTTGCTTTTGTGTGTTGCATAAACTCACCCAACTGGGATTTATTCAATAAACCAGTTAAATAAATCAGAGCATATCTCTGGGGAGCATTTCTTTAGAGTGAATTATCTAATGGAATGGACTAAAATGTCTTAAACCCAAGATGTCCTTTTACCTCACAAGTCATGAATAACAGTAAGTCTTTTCAGTACAGGTAGCCCACAACTTACAACAGTTCATTTAGCGACTGACTGTTCAAAGTTATAACGGCACTGAAAAAAGTGATTCATTACCATTTTTCAGTTACAATCTTTGCAGCATCCCTGTGATCATGTGATCAAAATTCAGATTGTTGGCAAGTGGTCCATATTTATAATCATTGCTGTGTTGGGGGGGGGGTCTCATGTGACCCTAACCCTCTGACAAGCAGTCAGTGGGAAAACCCGATGCATTTTGACAACAGGGTTACTAACTTATCACCTGAAGCAATTCAGTTAACAAATGTGGCAAGGTCGTAAAACAAGGCAAAACTCACGCCAGAAATGCCTCACTTAAAAAAATAGAAATTTGGGGCTCCATTGTGGCTGTTAAGTCGAGGACTACCAGTACAGATGTAAGCCACTTAAAAAAAAACACAACAACATGGCTGCAGGAACACTTTTTTGAGTTTCAGAACGGAAGCCGGTTGAGCAAAGGGCTAAGATCGGCTTCACCCCACCGCCGCTGCCGCCATCCCGAAACGAGGACCAAAAACCTGCAAAACCTGTTAGAACCAGAAGCGGGGCTAGGCCACGCCCCCTCTACCCTCAGCTCCCTCTTCATTTTTTTTAATCCATCTATCTTTTTTTTTTTTTTAATCTCGTCCATTTTGCGGTCTGCGAAGTGACCCGACGTTATCGGCGCCTGAACCTATAGAAGAGTCAGAAGAAAAGTAAAAGAAAGAAAAGAAAGTTGCGGCCTGCCGATGTTTACAACTGCTTGAACTTCCTTTCTAATTGTGACGAGAGAGAGAGAGAAAGAATGAACGAACCTACCCAAAAGCCCTGCATAATTGACACCCCGATTCCGCGGGACGAGCCGGCCGCTTCTGCAAGCGCCGGCGGAATCAATGAAGCTCCCCCCGCGGCGCCCGTTCCCTTAAGGAATTTCGCCCCTCACCTCCTCTCTTCGCTCGCTCAGGCGGCCGAGGAGGCGCTCCCGGAGCAACCCGGAGCTTTTCCCGCCTTATTTTGCTCCTCCGTCTTACCTTCCGCAGGAAAGCCAGGCACGCCACCATCATCATCACCACCACCTCCATCTGCGCCATTTCAATGGTCGCGGCTAATCTCGCAGCCCAGCTCTTCTTTTCTTTCTTTAACGCGGAGGGTGTGTTTGCATGTGTGTCTTGTGACGGGGGTACCTTAAACTCTCCACCCCCCTACCAGGCGTCTCCGGGAATCCCCGCTCGTGAAAAGCAGCTGAAAGCCCTTGATGTTCACCCTCTTCTCCCGGCAGAGCAAGCGAAGCCCTTCCCAACTTCGCAGTTTCCGCGGGGCGCACAAAAGTTGTAGGAGGCTAAAACCTTTCCCTCCCCGCCCACTAAATAAATCAGAGGCGAGTCTCCTCCTCCAATGCCCGCTAAAGAAGACACGCCTAGTTTGTTAGGTTTAAGATGTGCCATTGGATTGATTTACGGAAAGTTACTGGGCGCTCCTTTTCTTCAAGAAAGGCGGAAACCGGTTTTCACTGCCCCCCCCTTCTTTTTTTTCTTTGACCGTCCCGTTTAGCTTACGATCCCAAGTATTCTGTGAGGATCCCTCTCCTCCAGATTCTAAATCTGCTAACTTTTTTGACTTTCAGATAAGAACCGCCGCTAAAAGTCGATGCAGATTGGGTGGCACAGCAACCCCGTTATAACCTATGTGCTGCTCTCGCTCCAGGGCTCCCCAAATTTAGCAACTTTTTAAGACTTGTGGACTTCAA